TTTTCATGGAAAGCACACACATTTCTTTAATTGGCCATTGGCCTCAGACAGACAAATAAACTCCCCCAAATCAAGAACAGAATAGACATATTAGACCAATAAAACTTCAAAACAGAGGTTACCCACATGATCAGCTTGAAGTCATGCCTAATTTACTTCTTCATGTTTCTTGACTGGCTACAGTATTCCAGGCACTGCTGGTCTTAGGTGCTGAGGATATAGCTGAGAACAGGGCAGACCAGTCACTGCCTCTGTGGATCTCATATTTAAGCAAAGCAGAGAGATAATAAGATAATTGTTGTGATAATAGCCATGCAGGAAATTATTGCTGTGAGAGTAAGTTGGAGGGACAGGAGGGGAAGAGAAGTACGAAATGGGGCTAGAACTTTGGACAGCAGCTAAACTTCCAACCTGCCCTGTTAACCTGGGACATTTCCCAAGCTGTCCATAGCAGCACACTCCTCTTGGGATAACTGCCCTTTAACACAAGAGTTGTCTCCATGTCCAGGGGTACCCCAGCTTGACACCTGCTCTCTCTGTGTCATTAATAATTGTGCCCTGTCCTCATTCACTCTAGGACATGTCCTGCTCTGGATTATAAATTTTACAACCACCCTGACTAAACAAGAAACTGATTTCCAGTCAGACCCTACAACCCACGCAGTCGACTCATTCTGTCTTCTTCAGAGATATGAACCATATTTGAAGTCTGTAAATACCCAAAACATAGCAACTCAGTCTAAATCAAAGAGCCCTAGTTGAAAACAGTTTTGGAATAGATGTTATGTTTAATTATATCTGAAGAGACAAGATTTCACTAAATTTGGAGATCACGCATGTGACATTCTCTCCTGAGCCCAGCTTTCACCCACACTTTTTCTTAAGTCTATACTACATGTGCCAGGCACCACCAAAGAGATTCTCTGGAATAACCTCATTCATTCCTTGAATGATCATAATCCCTGTTTTTCTCCAAGGACTTGGGAATCTTTTCCCAGGCACGTTCTGAGGAGGACTTGACCTCAGGCAGAGGCTCCAGGATCCATGTCCTCACCTATTGTATAGACAGACCTCAGATAATGACCAGTCCAGCCCTTCTCTGGAGCTTCACACCCCATCCTCAACTGATGCTGGCCGATCCACTAGGCTGCTTCACAAACATTTCAAATCCAACTCATCCAAACCAGAAATCTTTCCTTTTGTTTTCCCAGATTTTCTCTTTCCCTGTTCCACCACTCTTGCCATGGTGGGAGTGGGGGCTGGTAGACTGCCAGCAGTCTGATCACTTGAACTCAGGCTCCACAGAGTATCTGCTCCTTGTCTATTTCCACCCTCTCTGCATCTGGCCCACTGTCCAGCTTGAAAACCCTAACCTCATTCCAACCTGTGTTCTTTCCTCAAATCTAGCTCCCCCCACCTCCACACAGAGTCCTCCCCCAATGCCTCAGGGTTGACTCTCACAGTCAGACCCCAAGAGCTTAGCCTCTCCTGATGACAACATGGCCAGATGGAAAGAGTAACCAGAAGGTACTTTGGAGCCACAGTGGGACTCAAATCCCACCTATCCTGCTGACAGCTTCTGAGACCCTGGGTAAAGTATTTGGTTTTACTGAGTCACCACTCATTCTTCTGTGAAGTATTAATAGCATCTGATTGACTTTTAGTGAAGTGAACCAAGTGCCCAGTTCCCTAAGCAGAAGTGATGAATAATCTCTACCTCTAAAAAATCAGCCAACCCCAATATTTTTTTCCATGTATATATATAGACCTAACAGAAGCAGAAGAAATTAAGAAGAGCTAGCAAGGATACACAGAAGAACTATAAAAAAAAAGATTATCAAGACCCAGATAACCGCAATGGTGTGATCACTCACCGAGAGCCAGACATCCTGGAATGTGAAGTCAAGTGGGCCTTAGGAAGCATCACTACCAACAAAGCCAGTAGAGGTGATGGAATTCAGTCAAACTAATTTAAATCCCAAAAGATAATGCTGTGAAAGTGCTGCACTCAATATGCCAGCAAATTTGGAAAACTCAGCAGTGGCCACAGGACTGGAAAGGTCAGTTTTCATTCCAATCCCAAAGAAAGGCAATCCCAAAGAATGTTCAGCCTACCACACAATTGCACTGATCTCACATGCTAGCAAAGTAATGCTCAAAATTCTCCAAGACAGGCTTCAACAGTATGTGAACCATGAACTTCCAGATGTTCAAGCTGGATTTAGAAAAGGCAGAGGAACCAGAGATCAAATTGCCAACATCCTTTGGATCATCAAAAAAGCAAGAGAGTTCCAGAAAAACATCTATTTCTGCTTTACTGACTATGCCAAAGCCTTTGACTGTGTGGATGACAACAAACTGTGGAAAATTCTGAAAGAGATGGGAATACCAGATCACCTGACCTGACTTCTGAGAAATCTGTATGCAGGCCAAGAAGCAACAGTTAGAACTGGATATGGAAAAACAGACTGGTTTCAAATTGGAAAAGTAGCACATCAAGGCTGTATATTTTCACCCTGCTTATTTAACTTATATGCGGTGTACACCATGTGAAATGCCAGGCTGATGAAATACAAGCTGGAACCAAGATTGCTGGGAGAAATATCAATAACCTTAGATAACGCAAATGACACCACCCTATGTCAGAAAACAAGGAAGAACTAAACAGTTTCATGATGAAAGTGAAAGAGGAGATTGAAAATGTTGGCTTAAAACTAAACATTCAGAAAACTAAGATCATGGCATTTGATCCCATCACTTCATGGTAAATAGATGGGGAAACAAAGGAAGCAGTGAGAGACTTTCTTTTCTTTGCCTCCAAATTCACTGCAGATGGTAGTGGTCATGTATGGATGTGAGAGTTGGACTGTGAAGAGAGCTGAGCGCTGAAGAACTGATGCTTTTGAACTGTGGTGTTGGAGAAGACTCTTGGGAGTCCATTGGATTGCAAGGAGATCCAACCAGTCCATCCTAAAGGAGATCAATTCTGAGTGCTCATTGGAAGGACTGATGTTGAAGCAGAAACTCCAACAGTTTGGCCACCTGATGTGAAGAGTTGACTCATTGGAAGAGACTCTGATGCAGGGAAAGATTGAAGGCGGGAGGAGAAGGGGACGACAAAGGATGAGATGGTTTGGGTTGGATAGCATCACTGACTCAATGGAGATGAGTTTGAGTAAAGTCCAGGAGTTGGTGACAGACAGGGAGGCTTAGCATGTTGCAGTCTATGGGGCCACAAAAAGTAGCACATGACTGAGCTACTAAAATGAACTGAACTGAATATGACAGGTACTGTGCCATGCGCTTCAACCTACTCAGCATACCTCCCCAGGACAAATATTATTATCTCATTTTACCAATGTTTTGTGAGTCATTGACCTTATTTCACACCAATTCTAACAAAGGAAATAAAGCTACTTCTGTCTCATAAATTCATCATCTGAATATGAATTAAAAGCATTGAACAGATGTACAGTCTGTGCCTAAAGGACAGCCCATTGATGGCACGCAAGTTAACGATGTCCCAGCCTGAACTTGGGAAAAAAGAAACCCCAGTTGTGTCCAACTCTTTGCTCAGTCACTCAGTTGTGTCCAACTCTTTGTGACTCCATGGACTGCAGCTCGCCAGGCTTTCCTGTCCATCACCAACTTCTGGAGCTTATTCAAACTCATGTCAATTGATTCGGTGATGCCATCCAACCATCTCACCCTCTGTCATCCCCTTCTCCTCCTGCCTTCAATATTTCCCAGAATCAGGGTCTTTTCCAATGAGTCATTTCTTTCCATCAGGTGGCCAACGTATTGGAGTTTCAGCTTCAGCATCAGCTGGGCTTCCCTTGTGGCTCAGGTGGTAAAGAATCTGCCTGCAATGTGGGAAACTGGGTTCAAGCCCTGGGTTGTGAAGATCCCCTGGATAAGGGCATGGTAACCCACTCCAGTATTTTTGCCTGGAAAATCCCCATGGACAGAGGAGCCTGGCGGGCTACAGTCCATAGGGTCGCAAAGAGTTGGACACCACTGAGTAAGCACAGCACATTGTGACCTCTCAATATAGAATTTAAGCAGCTTCCAAAAGAAACCCCAGAGACCTTCCATAAACTACTAGATAGAATCACAGGACCACAGCAGCTACTTGACAGGTGCACACAACTTGACACCCCAGAGCAGGTCCCGCCTCTCGGGAGGAGAGCTCACGGTGATGGGATATTTACTCCACATCTGGCCCTGCGCTCCCTGCTTAAGGGCATGTTTTCATTACCCTGCAAAATAAAGTCATGGAGGAGCAACACCACAACCACCTTTGGTGATAGTCAAAATATTTTTGAGGTAAGAACTCTTTAACAAAAAGGGGAAAAGAAGACCCAGAAAGATTGGTAACTTGGCCAAGATCCCAGAGCTATTACAGGAGGAACACTCTGAATTCAGCTCAGCTCTGAGTACACACTAGTCCCCCAAGACATACTTAAGTGTTTGATGTGACAGCATCTGAATATGCTTCAATGAAGAGGGAAAATATGCACGTCTGCTGGCACATGGCCCCTGTGCTCTCGCTGTCTCAGATGCAATAAATGAAATGCTACAAGGGAGACTGCTTGATCATGTGCGCTAGGCCCTCTGCTAGCTTCTACAGCAGAACTAAGAGACAAACAAATAAAAGATGAGAATTTGGAACAGTTCCTGGAGGGGCCTCGTTCCTGTAAATCCATTTGGCAGTGCAACTGGGCATCCACTCTGCCAGCCTCCTGTGTTCAAAGAGCAGGCTGCCAGGACAAACTGGTTGGGCAGTGAAAACCATTGCTGGATGCATCCAAGCAGAGTTACTGTGGTCGAGGAGACCACGTCCTTGGGGAGTTTCAGTCTGAGTGACCTCTATGTGGCATCCAATGTTGAGGAACAAAGGGTGTAGGAAGGTCTTTCCTGTTTCTGTGGAGTATCACCCAATAGCTTACTACAAAAACCTAGGAATCATTCTTGAGCCTGTCCTTTTCTTTGCTTTTCAGATGCAAGCCCTTAACAAGGCTGTGGGCTCTACCTCCAAAGCACAACCTGGATCCAGCCATTTCTCACCATCCCAATTACAAGCTCTACCTCCAAAGCACAACCTGGATCCAGCCATTTCTCACCATCCCAATTACAACTCCGGGTATATCCAGGCCACCACTCACCCATACCAGAGAGACTCCCAGCTGTACACTTCTCTGAAAGTTATTATCCACTCAGCAGCCAGTGATGTTTTCCCTTGCTCAATACTTTGAGCAATGGCTTTACTTCCACTTAGAATAAAACTCAACTTTTTAGCAAAATCCAGCATGCTCTCTTCCTGTGAATACTTTGTCTCAGTCTGAACCATCCCCTCCTTCCCTGGGTAACTTGGTGGTTCTTGGGATGCCTCCTGACTTGGCCCTGCTTCCCCTTACAGACAGACATGACCATCCAGCTCAATTATCTTCTTCCCAAATTTGTTGTCCTGACCAGCAGACACTCACAGCCCCTCTTCATATTTCTGAGTTTTATTTGCTTCACAGGACCTACAGCTATCATGTTTATCACTCACAGTCCAACAGATCAGCTCCTAAAGGACTGGTACATAGTAGAGGTGATTCATTTATTTCTGAATGAATGAATGTAGAGATTTGGGCCTTTATGTCTTCAGCAAGGAAAGAATGTGCTACATTGGTAGACAGACACCCGGGCCTGCTGGAGAGTGAACTGGAGAATATTTTGCATTGGTAAAAACACCCAGGATGTTTCATACTTCTGTCCCTTCTGGAACGTCCTTCTCACCCTGCTGTGGCCTCCACTGTGGGCCTGCTGATTACCCATTCATCATTCCAGATCAGCACCCTCCTCAGTCTCCCCTGACAGCCAGATGAGGTAAGTGCCACTGCTTGCACTAATGCACTCACATCAGTGGAACCACTTCCCTCTGGATCCACCCTTATGGATGGACACCCTCATGGGTGGGAGCCCCACTCTCATGGAGGGCATAGGCATGCATCCCCAATGTGAATAAAGACCTGGAATGCAGTGGGCACTCAATGCTGTGTGTGGAGACCCCAGATCAAGTTGCCAACTTTTCAAGTGGGGAAAACACAGGTCTCAATAAGAGATTATTTTTCTGTCTGCATGTCCTGGGCTTGATCTTCCAAACTGCCTCGGGCTTGGGCCTCAGCCTCTTTTCCCCCATACGCGCTCACTTCCTACACAGACTCAGGCCTTCTTCTTCTGTGTGAGTGACTCCCACCTGTAACCTTGCTCCTTACTCCAGACCATATGTCCAGCCATGCAGTCAATATCTCCCTTCATTGGCAGACAGTATTTCAGAGTCATCCTGTCCAGAGCTGAGCTCTGGATCCTGCCCTTATGGACCTCTGCTATCATCACCCTCAGAGCCATTCTGAGTTCCTCTCATCCTCTCCCAGCCTGCAGCCCAGCCTGCCACCTCCCTGGAGACCTTCTCTGGCCACCCTCTCACCCTGGTGTAGCCACACTTGTCAGAGGCCGCATAGCGAGCCTTTGCTCTTGCCCAGGTGGGTCTTCACACTGCCCTAGAACAGAAACCAGGAATCTTTTTAAATTCAGTCACATCATATCATTCCTCTGTTCAAACCTTTCCATCTCATTTAGACGAATTCCAAGTCAATGACCATAACAATGTCACATGCCCATATCCTCTCATCAGAGAGGCTCCACCTGAGGAGTCCCCCTTTGTTTTCTAAAAATTTTATTGGAGTAGAGTAGCTTTACAATACTGTATTAGTTTCTACTATACAGCAAATCAAATCAGCTATCTATATACATAGAGCCCCTTTTTCTGATTTCCTTCCCATTCAGGTCACCAAAGAGAATTGAGTACAGTTCCATCTGTCATGCAGTCTGTTTTATACATGTCAGCCTCAACCTCCCAGTTCATCTCACCTCTCCTCCCTCGGTGGCCATACATTGTTCTGTATGTTTGTGTCTCTATTTCTGCTTTGCAAATGTGTTCATCTGCGCCAGTTTTCTAGAGTCCACATATATTCATTAGTGTACAATATTTGTTTTTCTCTTTCTGACTTGCTTCACTTTGTATGACAGCCTCCGGGTCCATCCATGTCTTTACAAATGGCTTGATTTTGTTCTTTTTAATGGCTGAGTAATATTCCACTATAAATATGAAAATCATAATTCCAAAATATTCCCCAATGTTCATTGCAGCCCTATTTACAATAACCAGGACATGGAAGCAACCTAAATGTCCATCAACAGAGGAATTGATAAGGAAGGTGCACTATATATATAGGGCTATACATATAGCCCTTGTGACACTTACCAGCACTGGGGATATTACTCAGATGCATATATACTGTCTGTCTCCACGAGAATGGAGCTTTGAACTACTCATAGCACACAGGAGAATGGGCTTGTCTGTGGAATGAATAAGTAGATGCAGCTCTAATAATCCCTCCAAAGATCAAGTTCTCTCTGTCAAACCCCATAAGAGCTGCAAGTATAAAATCTCAAGTCAATTCACATGATTCAGACCCTATCCCAGGGGAAAGCAGTGGGCCTGCCATAGATCAGATTCTATTTTAAGTGGACTTTCTTCACCACTCAAGCCTCATCCTCAGTGGCCTCATTGCTAACCCTTCTTGCGCTTACATTGGGCCAGACATAGTCAGGGGCAGAGCAGTGGATGATTGAAGGGAAGCCGCTGGCAGGTGAGGTCAGGAGCTCAGGCATGGGAGGGGATTTCAGGGCTCCCTCCCCACAAGTTGAATTGACAGGGTTCGTTGTTGTTGTTGTTGTTATATTTTCCACTCATATTGTGTTAGCTCTCCAGAGAAACCAAGCCAAATATAGCTTATCTATCAAGATTAGTTATAAGAAATTGGCTCACATGATTATGGAAGCAGAAAAGTCCCACGGTTTTCTGTGTGTAAGCCAAAGACCAGAAAAGTTGATGAAATGAGTTCCAGTTTCAGGGCAGAAGACCAGTGTCCCAGCTTATGCAGTGCATTCTCCCTTCCCACCTTCCTGTTCTCTCAACTGAGGGGATGTTGTCCACCCTCTGTTTACTTCATCACCAATTCAAATTTTTGAATCTTATCTAGAAACACTCTCACAGACACACCCAGATGTAATGTTTAGCCAGGTATCTGGATGCATTGTGGTCCAGGCAATTTAGCACATAAAATTAGCCATCACACATACTTTCTTTTAAAATTTGCATTTGCGAAGGGGGGAAGCAGGATGGATTAGAAGATGGGTATTAACATACACACATTATTGATACTATGTATAAAATAGAGAGGCTTCCCAGGTGGCACTAGTAGTAAAGAACCTGTCTACCAATGCAGGAGATAATAAGAGATGTGGATTCAATCCCTACTCCAGAGAAACCAAGCCAAATATAGCTTATCTATCAAGATTAATTATAAGAAATTGGCTCACATGATTATGGAAGCAGAAAAGTCCCACGGTTTTCTGTGTGTAAGCCAAAGACCAGAAAAGTTGATGGAGTGAGTTCCAGTTTCAGGGCAGACGACCAGTGTCCCAGCTTATGCAGTGCATTCTCCCTTCCCACCTTCCTGTTCTCTCAACTGAGGGGATGTTGTCCACCCTCTGTTTCACTTCATCACCAATTCAAATTTTTGAATCTTATCTAGAAACACTCTCACAGACACACCCAGATATAATGTTTAGCCAGGTATCTGGATGCATTGTGGTCCAGGCAATTTAGCACATAAAATTAACCATCACACATACTTTCTTTTAAAATTTGCATTTGGGAAGGGGGGAGGCAGGATGGATTAGAAGATGGAGATTAACATATATACATTATTGACGCTATGTATAAAATAGAGAGGCTTCCCAGGTGGCACTAGTAGTAAAGAACCTGTCTACCAATGCAGGAGATAATAAGAGATGTGGATTCAATCCCTGGGTTGGGAAGATCTCCTGGAGATGGGCATGGCAAGCCACTCCAATATTCTTGCCTAGAGAACCCCACGGACAGAGGAGCCTGGTGGACTATAGTCCATAGGGTCGCAAAGAATCGGACATGACTTAGTGACTAAACAACAACATAAAATAGGTAACTAATTGAGAACATACTGTATAGTACAGAGAGCTCTACTCAACGCTCTGTGGTTACCTAAATGGGAAAGAAATCCAAAAAGACTTTATGCTTATATAACATGTGTACATATAGCTGATTAACTTTGCTATACAACAGAAACTAACACAACATTGTAAAGCAACTGTACTCCAATAAAAAAAATAAAATGAAAAATAAAAGCATAAAAAATAAATATATACCCCAACATTTGTATTTCTATTGTGTTCCAACAATATGCCAATTAGAGATGGATGCTGATGATACAAAAGTGACAGATCATCCCAGTCCCCAAGAACTTTGAAGAGAGTAATGTAAAGAATCCTTATAAAGTCAGTCCTTATAAAATCACATTACAGTGCCTGCAGAACTGATCAGAGGATGCTATGGGAGTACCACTCAATCTAGGGAAGTATGGCCGAGATGGGGATTATTCAGAGATGCTTTTCTGGAGGAATAGGATATTCTGGAGCTGAGACTCAGTGCTGGGCTGTGAGGCAGCTAGCATGAAGAAGTGTACAGTCCAGAAGGGGCCTGAGGAAGTCAATAACAGAAACAAGTTGATGGGGAGCTTTGCTGACTGTGGTATGAGTCTTGGGGTGTCTGTTTTCCAGGCACATTTCTTCATAGGAGCAACTATAGAGAGAAAAAATAATTAAATCTGTTAGAGGCAGGTGGGCTGATTCCATTGTCCCTGGCTCCCTTGTAACCTTCTTGCAGGATTGTGATCATTAAGACTTCCAATGAAGCAATGTATTGGAGAAGGTCCGTGGAGGCCCACACAACCTTTCATACCCTGCTGCTGCTGCTGCTAAGTCTCTTCAGTCGTGTCTGACTCTGTGTGACCCCATAGACGGCAGCCCACCAGGCTCCCCCGTCCCTGGGATTCTCCAGGCAAGAACATTGGAATGGGTTGCCATTTCCTTATCCAATGCGTGGAAGTGAAAAGTGAAGGTGAAGTCGCTCAGTCATGTCTGACTCTTCACAACCCCATGGACTGCAGCCCACCAGGCTCCTCCATCCATGGGACTTTCCAGGCGAGAGAACTGGAGTGGGTTGCCATTGACTTCTCATTCCCTAGATCTTCCAAATTCAAGCTTAGTTCCCTTTCTTTCTCTTTCT